TTGGGGGACCATATTGCAAACGGACTAAAAGTTGGGGGACTGTATTGCAAGTTTTAAAAGTTAGGGGACCTAAATGAAGCTTTAGATAGGTTCAGTGACCATTACTATACTTTACCCTTATATTCACACTCATTCAATTATTAATTAAATTATTTTTATTACTAAATTAAAAAATATTTTTCCTCGCTTACCTAATTAAAATTATTTTTTCATCGTTGTATCATTAAATTACTCACATTAAAATTATATAATCATTTAATAATAAAAATAATAATATATTTTATCTTTAATTTTTTTCATTTTTTAAGGTAAAAAGCACTTGAGTCTTGTACTTTAAAAAATAAATTAGTGTGACAATAGTACAAAAAATAAATTAGTGTGACAATTGTATTATTTTTATTGAATGTAACTCTTTAACTAAAAAAATATAAAAATTAATATGAGTTTTTGACCAACGTTTTTCGTTATTTACTAACGACGCCGTTAATTCATATTGACGTGGCACGTCAAGCAGTCCGCCTCCCTTTGTTTAATGTTGACTGGACGCTGATTGAGTTTATATTAATCTGAGTTGGAAGTTAATTAATTAAAAAAAGTTTTTATATCGAAAACTAATCATCGATGACTGACGTCGTCGTCGGTAGTCATCGCGAACAAAGAGGCAAGGTTGGACCTTTTTGGTCGCTCAAAGTCGAACATGTCGTCTGTTTCCCCAAACATTGTTCTGATTATCGTAAATCTATAAAAGAATTCTTCGATCATTGCAGGTAACATCTCCCCGATCTTTGTCGTCTGTCGTTGGATTAAGCTACCTCCACAGTATCTTGCTCGCACTGTCGTAGATAACATATCCATCGTTGAGATTTACCAACGGACACTAAGAACGCCGCGAACCTAGAGCTCCTTATCACCAGCATCTCCTTCTCGTTTTCCTTTTCATTTTAGCTTTGGTTGCTTGTTTAAGTTGTTGCATTATTGTCATTTACTTGCATGTGGCCGTGGCATCCATCATCGGTTGTTGAGGTTGGCGAGAACAGTTGTTGACAGCAAAAGTGGACTGCTCCATGACTAGGCTATTTGAAAGCCCCATGTTGCTGCCTGTGTAATTTTTTTCTTTTTTTTAATTAATTAATTAATTTTCAACTCAGATTAATACGAAGCCAATAAGTGTTGAATCAACATTAAACGGAAGGAGATGGACTGCTTGAGGTGTTACATCAATAGGAATTAACGAGGCAGGTCAATAATAAAAAAACATTAATCAAATAATCGGATTGATTTTTTTTTAGTTGGAGAACTACATTAGATAAAAAAATTATACAAGAATTACACTTTTTTTTAAAATACAGGGCCCTATGTGTCTTTGTGTCTATTTTTTAATATATTGATCTCAAAGATGATAATTAAAATGAATAATCGTACATCGTTAGAAAGTGATTTCGATGTCAAATTTTCCATAATTTTATTATTTTATAATTTGATATGTTAATTTTTTATTTTCCTTTTATAATGTTATTTATTTTGGGTAAACTACTCCAGATATCACTAAACTTTATCATTTGACTCGTTTATGCCACTAAACTTTTAATTTTATCAATTATAACACTGAAATTTAATTTTTGTTACAATTGTATCATTGAGCCGTTTAGATCGTTAACGGCACAGTGACGTGGCAAACAGATGACAACGTGGACACCACATCTAAACAACATCGTTTTGATGTGGTAATTTTAATGCGTAAAATATATCAAAATGACGTCTTTTTAATGGACAAAAAATAAACTTTAAATGCTTTACATGTTAATCAATTCCATGCCCGTTGAAAGCCAAGGCTCAAGTCTAACCACTAACCAACTTAAATCTTTAAAATATTTCTAACACGAATAATATATATCGTAAAATGTAATTAAGATTAATTCTAAAATCTTAAATAATCCAGGGACTAAGCCAAAAATTTTCCATTATATTTTTTCTTTTTGCACTTCATCTTCTCCAAATCATAAAATCCTAGCAACGGCCCTGCCCTCCCTTTATCATTACCCTAGTCGATACTCATGTGACTCGCACCACTCCTCTTCTTAACACCGCCTCTTCAGCAACTGCTGCCACAAATGAAAGGTTGGATGAAAGTCTTCTCAGTTCGATAGATTTACCAACGGCGATGGATTTTTGCCTCTAGAACCTGAGGTCTCTTTCTGATTGTTAAAATTTCACCTTCTGCTTCCAGGGTTTTTGGAGTTTTTCAATCGTTGATTGCACTTTGATTATGAACATTCTGGTTAAAGTCCTTTTCCCTGATTGGTTAATTAACTGATTTCCATGGAATCACATTTGGAACCTTAGTTGGATTCCAAAACCATATTGCTAATTAGAATGAATCATGGGTAAAGTGATAAACAGGTCAAAACTAGGATGATAATAGGAGGGTTTAATTTTTTATACTACATTATATTTTAAGTTTTTTTATATCAAATCTTCAATGCACACGAGTCTCGAATTTGACTTCTTCCCTTGGAGTTATTATGATGTTATGAAATTGTGTGCTCAATTTGGGGCGTAATTGCAGAGATGACTCTTGTTGAATTGTGTGTGAGAAAGGGATGGGGGGGGGTGGAGGGGGACGACAGCACCGTCGCTAATATTTTAGGGTTTAGAGGTAGAAGATGAAGTACAGAAAGCGAGAAAAATACAATGGGAAAATTTTGGCTTAGTCCTTGGATTATTTAGGATTTTAGAATTAATCTTAATTACAGTTTAAGATATATACAAGTACTTTCAAAATTTAAGTTAGTTTAGTGGTTAGAAGTGAGTCTTGATTTCATAGGTTTTGGGTTCATTTCTTATGAAGAGCATTTTAATTTTAATTTTTGTCCACTAAAACAACATCATTTTGATGAGTGTCGTTAATGATTTAAAGACTCAGTAGTACAATTGAAACGAAAATTAAAGTTCAGTGTTATAATTGATAAAATTAAAAGTTTAGTGGTATAAACTAGTTGAGGATAAAGCTCAGAGGTATCTGGAGTAGTTTACCCTCTTATTTTCAGTCCATTTATTATTTTAGAAAGAGTTGGAACTTAGCCCAGAGTTGGTCCTTCCATATATCTTGTTTAGTTATCTATATTTGATTAAGTTAAAATTTAACAAATGCATACTTGAACACTATTTTAATATATCAAAAACACTTTTCACAACCCCAAAGAAAGAAAAACAATTTTGTTTCAGACTACTTTACTTTCATATATAATATATATACACACAATATATACTAATCAAGTAACCATGTTACTCTGCTTTTATTTCAGGGAAATGGAGGTGAGGTCCCTTTTACTCTTTATCCATATTAATCTTTTGCTTTGGTTGAATTACTTTTTTCTGGTAAAAGGTGGTTTCTTTCCCGACAAAAGTGGACAACCAAGGTGGAGAGCACGAGGTTGATGACGACAAAACTTTGAGATCATATGGCTTGTTCATAGGTATCTTTATCCATAGATTGAGATCTAGACCTGTACAAGTCATTATTTTTTAGTCTTTAGCACCCTCTTTTGTTAGAATCTTTAGCAGTTTGTTGTTTTCTTCTTTTATATGTTCTTAAAACATATATATTTGTTCGTGTTCTAAAACATTTTTTCTTAATTAATCAATCATTTAGTATTGAATGTCCACACTCGAGAATTTTTAGTGTTGGAACCCAAGATTTCAAAAAAATTAAAATAATTTTTCTACTCCCAAGATCATTTGATTCGTGTAATTAATATGTTTTTAATATTTATATAATACAAACAGCACACTTTTAATATATCTTATACAATGAATGCTTTTATCTTCATTACAAAGTACACAACCTAAAAAAAGCTATTAAAAAAGCTTGAAAAAAAAGGGGAAAAAAGCAATCTTTTTATTTTTGGGTGTAGATTTTATTTTCAGCAGGATGCGAGATCATTCACTTGACCTGAACGTCAGTTTATTTTAAATTTTAAATTTATATTTTTCTATTGTTATAAAAGTGAATATGTATATTTCTTATGTTTATGTATATTATAAAATGAAACATATATATATATATAAATTCAATTTATTAAATTTGCACGAATTAACTTATTTATTAAATTTACACGAATTAACTTATCTTAATGGTTAAAAGAATCATAGTTGTTTTTAGTAGTTACGGGTTTGAGCACCAGTAACTAGGGGTGTGCAAATTCGGGATCTGGGTCGGTGACCGATCCGGATGTTGCGGGTACCAGGTATCCATATTTTTTTTTTCAATTTCAAATTATTAATTTAAAATATATACACAAATTTAAATGTTCGAAACTTCGAATTACATTCTCCAACATCCGAACATAAAATTTAAAAGTTCGAAATATAAAATCTAATAATCCATAATATAAATAATCCATCATATATATATATATATATATATATAAACTAATCGGGTACTAGAGTAACCGGATACCCGGAAAACTTTAATTTTGTGACCCGAGCCCGACCCGGGAAATGTCAGGTCGGGTACCCTACCTGACCGGGTAATTTTTTTAAAAAAATTACCCAATTTTTTTAGGTCTGAATCGACGGATCAGGTTAATCGGATCGAGTAGTTTTACACACACCCTACTAACGACTAAAATGGTGATTAGATGTTTATTATTAAATAATTAAAAATAAATAAAACATATACTACTTTGTATTTGTCTTTTAGTTAAATAAAAAAATTACTGGATTTTATTTTACAATATTCAAAATTTGATATCGAGTTTTCTTTTTTTTTTAGTAATTAAATCTTAATTTTCTGGTCCGAATTCCTTAAAAAAGCTGAATAGTTTAATGTGTTTCTTTAGGGTGAGAAAATAGTTTAATATTGTTTAGTCAAGCACTAGGCATATTTTTTTTTCTAGGAAAAAATGTGAGTGACTCCACTATACAAAACCTCCGGATTAATTCCCCACTAACCTGCATGGGAGTAAGCTCCACGGGTGTAGCCCTTTATAACTCCCAAGTAACCTTCCCCTAGACATCTCTGTCTCTCTTATAAACGGTTCTATTTTTCAGCGGTGACTCCTCGATCAAAACCTTCCAGCGACAATGAAGCAATTCAAATTTCTCCTTTGCCCCAATTCTCCTTCGGTAAGTTCATTTTTCTTGTGTAACAAAATTAAGTCAGAAGAATTTTTATTATTTTTGGGTCAGCAGACTAATTTTTCTTGGCCTTACGGCGAAGAAAGAGCGTTTCAGCTTTGTTGTTGTTTAATGTTGGCCGTAACTTCTAAATTCTGTTTGTTTCCTGAGAGACTATTTTCTCTGGAATCGAAAAATGACGTGTGTGTTTTTAAAGCACTGTATACATTGTGTTAAGCGCCTCTGTTTGTTTGCCGGGAAACTGAGATGGATTTTAAAATTCTTAGCTATTAGTTTCTTTCTGTACTTCTGTTTCAATTTTAGTTAATTTTGCTTCTTTCTATCTTTGATAGTTTAAATCTTTAAACTTTAAAGATAACCTTCGTTTCTTTTTCTTTTTCCAGGTTTGGGATGGAAATGGCTTCTCCCAATGTTTTGATGACTTATATCCTTTTCTTATTAAAAAAATTATTTTAATTCATTTTTAGGCTTATCTTAACACAAAAGTAAAACACATGTTTCTATTGAGTTTGGCTTTCCTTATTCGTGTTTACGGTCTTAGGCTTTGGTGTAAATGCTGCAACTATTGCCATGATTTGCGTAGTTGGAATTATGAAAAGAAGTGCCCGAACAAACTGGACGGTAAATTATTCTTTATATAAGACTACTGTCCTTTCATTTCCTTGTATAATGTCTAATGAGAAATTCCAATTTTTCATGATTTCATGCCTCTTGGAATGGAAATATATCTACTTTTTTTCTTTTTTGGAAATATATGGTTTATGCACCAGCTGTTTCTCTGGTTCGAATTTCCAATTCTTCTTATTTATTATCATGCATCAAACTAAGCAAGTAATATTCTTCATATCTCCCCTTCCCCATTTCCTTCAATTCTCTCTCTTTTTGTTTTTCTTTTTTTACTGGAGTAGCAAAAAGATAGTTTTTCTCCTTTAACATGAGGAATTTACTAACGTATCAAGAATTATGTATATATGTAAATTCTAGGTAAAATTTTCAGAGAATGTTCTTCTACATCTTATAGCAGTCATTGGAGCATGTTTATCATGCGTGGATGTCATATTGCTTACGAAGAAAAAGATTCATGGGGATTTTCTCTTATACCATGAGTGGCTTTTCAAATTTTCACATTTCATGGTCTGGGTAAGCTTTCCTATGTTTAAGTCATTGACCTTTTGCAGAGAACTTTAAGCAGTTTTCTTTGCTTTTATGAACTTTATTCTTGTATCTTAATATCGTTTGTTTCTTAAATATTGAAAATATATTCAGGCAACTATCATGTTCTCTTTGAGGTGTGCATGTTTTCAACACATATTTTGCGATACAGTCCTCTGTATATGGTGGATTATAAAAACTATGTTTGGAATCCCCCATTTGCAAAAGGCATTCTCTTCAAGGGAGGTACTTTGTTTTTCCTTTTAGAGATATCTTCCAATTTATCAAGTGCTTCTAAATAATTTATTGTGCTGTTGATCTTGCTCGTCTTTAAGTCTTTAATGGTGTGTTAACATTCCAATTTATGTGCTAAACATGCTTATGTTTTGTTTCTGTTTGCTCTGTGGACCATGTAATGCATACAGCTAGGTTTGCAGGCTTGATTTTTCATATCATGCTAATATAAAATTTTAACCCTATGATAAGATAGTACGCCATCTTGTCCTGGTAATAAAGGAATAGTTAAAAGAAGAAGATACTATGGATGCTTTTATGGTACAAGGCCATCTCCATCTAAATAGTTGGAGGAAAGATGCTACATATTGTTGAGGGCTAAAAGAAATATTCATTTCTTTCAAAATGTTGAGATGCCAAAACCATTTCAGTATATCTTACTTCCCGCAATTTCTTTTTGTTATATTTGCCTCCATTGTCTTATCTTCTGAGTGGTCAATTATTGTTCTTCACAAATATCATTGGTGCATGTCCGTACAAGTGTTCATGTATATGTATTTTGCATATATTATTGGAAAGCAATATTTAAGCCATTTGGTTTTAGTTTCCAGTTCAACATGCAGTTTAAAATTTGTGTAAACTGTGTAGTCAATGATATTGTGAAAGCAATCTTTAAGTAAAGCCTTTTCTTCTTCCATATGAAATCATCTTTTCGTATGTGGAATGCATCTTGTAATTACATAATGCTGATCTGTCACAGTAGTTTTTTCCATTCTTATTCTTCTTCTTGAAAAAGGAAGAAAGAAAAGGCAACTACAAGCTAAGGCTTTGTATTGTTGCTTTTGAGGTAATATTATAACTTTCTTATGTTGTCTCTTTGTGTAGTTCATGAATAGAATTAATCACTTAACAGAGGCATTAACAATTTTAGGAACTTGGTAATGCATTTTCAGCGAACCAACTCTTAATTAATTATTTATCCTTTTTGGCAGGTTTTAGAGTGTCTTAAAGCAAGCTCTGTTTTATTTTTGGATATCATGTTCTGTATATCCATTAACTATATCCGGATAAAACAAGCACCTATCAATAGCAGGTATGATTTTCAAGTATTTAGGTTGTACCACAGGTTACATTTTACTGTTTTCTGTGGTGTATCTTAAGTTTAGATTAATAAATTACTTGGATATGTTGGTTGACACTTGACATGATGCCATTATGTCTTTCTGACAAAAAGAATGTAAAACAGAAAAAAGCTTCTTCAATACACTAATGTTTCTCTTATTCTTGTTATGATTCTATGTTATGTGTTGTACGAGGCTAGCCAACAGGAATGTCATTCAACCACTAATAGGTTTTTCTATTGACTGTGATCTTGTGTTCTTTTTATGTTTCTTCCTTAGTAATTGTTTTCCGAAAAGGCTAAAGGAGAGAATGGTTGAATCTCATAAAACCCATCCCCATCCAAATGAAGGTGTATGAGGTCCTTTGTACAATTCCTTGGGGTTTTACCAATTAAGCTAGCTTGTCTTTGGACCTTTTTCTATCATGATTGGATCCATAACTAAATATGATAGAAGTTCTAGGAATAGTCTAATATTTGTACTTAAAAACTTTCTTGCCATGCTTTTTTCAATCATAGCTAACCTAGAAAATAATGGGAGAGAATCGGTATATAAAAAGATAAATAAAAATAAAAACTATTATTGAGGAATTGTGAGGACATATGATGTGTGAAATGTTTAAATTATCATGCTTCATGTGGGAAACTGTTTATTTTAATTACAACTTATATAAAGTTGTTGAAAAGATCATGTTGTGCAATATATCTGACAATGACTTGGCTCAGTCACTTTATCATGCATATTCATGCATTAGTTTATTCATCCTTTTTTTTCAGATTACATGTTAGTGACTCAACATGTTAATTAGATATTTGTATAGCTTTCATTCTTCCATTGTAATTAGTAATTCATAGCTTATGTTTGTAACTTGTGTAATCAAATTGAAAAGGTTTCTTGTCATTGCATGGATGTTAATTACATTTTTTTATTCCATATTACATGTTAGTGACTCAACATGTTAATTACATATTTTTATAGATTTTATTCTCCCATTGTAATTAGTAATTATTAGCTTATGTTTGTAACTTGTATAATGGTAATCAAATTGAAAAGGTTTCTCATCATTGCATGGATCCAGTCTCTATGACTTTGGATCTCTTGTAAGTTATAAAGTTCTTTATTCATTTTCTGCTTGAAGAAATAGGTATGTAGGCCAAAACTTATTTTCCATGGAGCAGTTTGCCAAATGTTCTTATTCATTAGATTTCCCATCTTCCATAATCAACATTTTGAGAAAGGTTTGATAAACTTGTTTATATCAAAGTCTATCATGATAGCTGAATCTGATGCTGTGGGAGCTTTGTGCAATGTAACTGCTGCTCTAATGTTATTGAGGCTTATTGGCTAAACCTTTTTCATGCTGAACTTGTAGCCCACTGGAAGATTCACTTTATGTTGAGATGGACATTGAGGAATGCCATCATACAGACTTTGTAAGTAATTTTTTCATCTCAACTTTTCTAATGCATGCTTCTAGCCTATTTATTGTTTATATGATTTGTATTTTTATAGGAATAATTTAAAAAGCTGTGCTATTAGTAGCGTTATTCCTTTTTTTTTTCTTACATTGAAAGAGTTTGGATCCAGCACCTTTTATTTTCAGTGTCAATTTTTCCCAACCAATCAATTTGGGGTAACACCATAGCAAATTGCTTCTAGAGAACTTAGTCGATATGATAAATGCAAAATTATTTTGCACTAGGTTGATATTCATGTGGAGCCTCTCTACCATTAGTCATCTGTTGTATTTGGAAGTATGACTGTCTAAAATTGCTAGGAAGCACCAAGAATAAATAGGATACTTGGGGATTATTACGTACTCTTAAAGTCCTATCTTTTCCATTTGGTGATTTAAGATTTTCTTGAGTTTCACGGAAGCTAATTAAAGTCTGAACTCTGACGTTTTCATGGAATTCAATTTTCTGATATTATTTTTCATTTTTTAAGTCATTACCTTTGATGAATGCATACCTAGTCTATATTCTGAAAATAATTCTCTTCTTGGCGTGAAGATTGAATGTGCAGTTAGAAAGAGATTCTAATAACTGACGTATCTCTGTCTTACACCGGAATGCTCGTCTTAAAATTACTTGGTTTGAATAACGTGAATCTGTTTGACATGTCTGCTTCAACAAGGCCCTTCTTGACTTTTGTATCACTTTTAGCAGCTGTCCATAAGCTTAATATTCATTACAACCATCCCAGAAACTTCCATGCCAAATCCTATTGTTTTTAAATTTTTTTTTTGTATTCCGGTACAAATGTGTCTTGTTTTCCCTTTTTTTTGTTTTCGAAATTAAATAAACTGATATGATTATTTTTCATGTTTGCTCGGTTGTCAAAGAGAAGCATGCAGGGCTTTTGGGATCATATGGTGTTCAAATCGATCACTTCCATAATGAATTCTGGTTTGCTAAAGCAGCTTGACTTTGATGATTTGCTTTTGCTTCCAGCTGATATGGATCCTTCTACATGTCATGAAAAAATTATTAAGCTGCTGGCAAGATCAGCAAAATAATTCTTGCTCAAATGCATCATTATTTAGAGCAATCTTCTATGCATATGGATGGCCATATCTTCGTCTAGGTTTATTAAAGGTATTCTTACTTTTTAAGATTGCTTGAGATGACATCTGGAAGTTTCTTTATGCTTCATTGGAAAAAAATGAAAACACAAGCTTGTTTGTTGAAAATATATGTGTTCCCTAATGCATTAAAAACATTTTGAGAAATTGAGGTGTACTTGTTTATGGGTAATTCGTGGATTCACCTTGCAGAAAAGTAAAAGATCCTTGACAGAAGTTTCCAAGTTGCTATATATGAATTTTAGTTTTTCCTACTACAAATACAGTTTTGTTTTTTTGCAGGTTTTTAATGATCTCATTGGTTTTGCTGGACCACTGCTTCTGAATAAGCTAATTCGGTTTCTTCAACAAGGTTTGCATAGCTCTAAATCTAATTCTTCTTGAAAAGATAGCAGTGGCCACCCCATCTCTAGTTTTGTTGTAGCACTCTTTTCATTCTGTAATATCTCTCCATGCTTCAAAATGAATTTTTTCTTTTTCTGCACTTCACTTTGATACAATTAAACCAAATACTATACTACCGAATGTGATACTATACTACTCTTATTACCTTATAGAACTTACTTTGTAATCTGTGACTAATTACCAGGTATTGCTTTTGGTTTTTACTTAATAAGATTCATAGTTTTGTGCTTGTAACTCAAGTCTTCGATGAGTTGGGTCATGTTATCGTTTTGGTCTTTTGCTGGTTCCTGCTTCTGACCCATATTAGATGATAAAGAGATTTCAACAAAAGGTTTCTTAGCATACTGGATTTTAGGTTCCTACCAGTTTCTAAAGGAAGAACTGGTGTCCCTGATTGCCTCTCAAGAAAAAGCATCCTTTTCATTAGCAGAATTTGATTGGACCGAGGGGAGTGAAGGGTAAGGGAAGGGAAGGAGGGAAAATGATACTTTATTGTTAATTTTTTTTTGACTGTATACAAAGCTAGCCTTTATACCAACATTATGGAAGTTAATCTATTTAACGCCATGCTCATTGTGTCATACATCCATGATACCCATGTTCTGTAAAACGCATATTGTTTTTTATCACAAGTCGGCGTTCATGTTATATGCATATTTGGTGATTTGAATATATCTTGCAAAATTTATGAATTCAGTTAACCTGAGTTTTGCTCATTCTGTCAAGTTTTACAGTTTTCCTATGAACATGACATCTTGACTTTTCCTTGTAATATGATTGTAACTAACTAGGGTCTGTAATAAATAATTACAATGAAGTTTTAGTTGGAATACTTATGGTTGACCTTGCTATTTCAACTTTTTCTCTTTTGTCAGGTTCTGGAAATTTGGATGGCTATGTTCTCGCAATATCATTAGGCCTAGTATCAGTTCTCAAGTGAGTTTTTTTTTTCTTTCTAAATAATCAATATGAATTTACATTTCTCTATTATTTTGTCTATGTTTGTGTCTCCTTGTATTGGTCTGTCAGATTTTGCAACAAAGAAGTGTGCTAAAGTCAAGTTCGTCAAGAAAAGATATGTTTAACATAGCATCGGGCATATATTTAGTTGAGATCAATATTTAAATAAGGTTATAATTTTACATGTGCTGGATTCTTGTTCTTGTATTCCTTCCAGACCACTAGTAAACAGATAACATGAGGATTGATTTTGTTGTTGCAATAGTTTGCTTTCTCTTAAACCTTATTCTTATGTTCTTATCTACATACTTTTAAAAACATAATACAAATGGAAAGTTCACTGCAAACCATTAATGGGTTCCTAGCCTGCTACACTGGCATGTTAATGTAGAAAGTTTTAGACTTGAAAGATAAATTCCAAAACAATAATTGAAATGTAGTAAAATACCATATAGTTTAATGTGCGTGTTTACAATGATATTCAGATTTCTAATAAATCCATGAATTAAGAATATGCTTTCTTTTCTTCTTATTTCTATTAATATTACATTTCATATAACACCTTTTCTTTTCTTTTTGTCTTCCAAAAACATTTCTTTGTCTCGAAGAATGATTCCAGGCTACTTTTTTCATGTTTAAACAAATAATTAAGAAATGCTTACCCCAATTTTGCAGATCCTTTTCTGATACACAGTATACGTTTCATCTCACAAAGCTGAAGCTAAAGTTACGGTCTAGTATCATGACTGTTATCTATCGTAAGGTATGTGATAGTTTTTTTTTTTAATTTTCCAATTTTGAATTTCAAATATATATTTTGTTTGTATATTCTTTCAAATTTGCTGATCTTGTGTTAGATATATCTGGAATGAAAACAAGAATTTTGTCCTTTGCTTGTATCAATGATTCCATTGATAACAAATTTGGGAATTTATTTTCACTATCATTTCCAACAAAATGAAAAAAAATTATCACTCTGGTACTTTAGCATGCTTACAAGGTGTCATGCAATATTATGTAACAAAATAAAAGGAATGGAACATTTTTTGTATCAAGTGTAGTTACTTTTGCACATATATCGAAGTGGAAGACATGCTTATTTTCTTCACCAACAAAATCAAGTCTTTCTTGGCTGTTACAATTCTCAAGAAAATTATCTTTTATGATAATCCATATCATGTATTATAAGGTGAAAACAAGTGAATGATTGGAATGGAGAGATCAGCTATAAGTATCTGTTTCACTTGATTGCTTTCTTTAGAAATACTGAGGGTGATTTATTGAGTATGGATGCGAGGAAATGACTATAACTAGCCATTTTTCTTGATATAGAGAATGAAGGTAGGATTAGTTAGGATGTAGCAGATTCGGTGAGTGAGAGTAGGACTGTAGTTTACGTTTCAAATTCATACTAAACAAATGTGAACCTTAAGTTACTTTACAGTTTCAGTAGTGAATTAGTGATTTCATTTTTTGGCTTTTGTTTTTATGTTTATGTTTTGTTTAGTTATTATTTATTTAATTATTTTTTTCTGCTTCAGCTTTTGGACTGCAATATTGTCCTTCTAGATTGGTTGGGAGGAAATGGTTTCTTTGTGCTATTATGATTTTTTTAGATGGAATTAAGACGACCTTTTCCTCTTCCCATATTAAACCTTCAATTTTTTTTTGATAGGAGGTGGAGGCCTCATTAAAAAACCCCTTCTAGATTAAAGGAACACCGCTCGGTTTTCCTTAATCAGTGGAAGGAGGAAAAGAGTGCCTCAAATTTTATTAATAACTGAAAGATTACATAATGTTTAAGAACAAACAATCCCCTTACAAAAACAATCCTCAACCCACCTTGACACACATCTGACATAAAGGAGAAACAACAAAACCCAACAAACATAAGAAAACTATCCAATACCAGCCTTAGCTAATGAATCTGCTTCAATATTAGCAGTTCTGTCTACCCATTTAATTTTACCCTGCAAAACCTTAATCATATCAGCAACTTCTTTGACTAAATCCCGGAAACCTGCAGGACAATTCTCCAAGTTCTTAATCCAATCCACAACAGATTTGCTGCCAGATTCAACAATCCACTTATTCTTAAAAAACTGAAGAATAGAATCAAAGATAATTTGACCCCTTTTAATGGCTATAATTTCCAGCAGAGTAGGAGAACCTGGACCAGTTTTTTCCTTGAAGGAACCCTTGATATCGCCAAACTCATCTCTTAAGAGACCACCTACACCGCTCTTACACCAATCCTTACAAACTGCTGCATCTACATTTAACTTTAAAAAGCCCTTAGGAGGGGGGATCCAGGAGATTACTTTATGGACTGAATGTGATGTAGAAAAGCAAGAATCTGCAATAGATGGATCATTAATAATAGATTCTTTAGAGATGGGAACCTCTTGGAACTTAGCTAAGAACCAAGAAGCTAGTCTCATCCTGGCCATGAAGAATAACTCAATCTGATCTAAAGACCTTCCTTCAAACACCACTTCGTTTCTGAATTTCCAAATAGTCCAAAGCACTACTCCCGGAATTAAGGACCAAACCGAAGAAGCAGGCACCATATCAAACCAAGCAATTAAAAAACCATGGACATTAACATGAAGAACCGAACTAAATTTCCAAATCTTCAGAAACTTATTCCAGAGGGACCATGCAACCGTGCAGGAGAAGAAAAGATGATTAACAGATTCCAACTCTTTATTGCACATAGGACAAGAAACATCAACAATCCCCGAAACTCCTCTTTTCTGTAATTCCAACTTAACCGCCACTTTTTGGTGCGCTAATTGCCACATAAAAGTCTCTATTTTTGGAGGGACTAGCCCCCTCCAAATACAATTATCCCAGAAATTGTCTTTTGCCGGACCAAGAAAACAGGTCTTCAAACAAGAGTTGACAGAAAAAATTCCTTCCCCATTCCCTTTCCAAATCAAACCATCTTTGGACTCTTGGAAAAGACTATAATTATGAATGATGGTTTGAAAATTTGGGAACTGTTCCAGCTCCCAATCACACAGGTTCCTTCTCAATTGCACAAACCAAATCCATCCTGAAGAATTGAACTCACCGAACTCATTTAACTTCCCAACCTTATTCAGGGAAAGAGCAAATATCCTTGGAAAAGCAGTCTTCAAAGGACGATCAAGAGCCCAAATATCAAACCAAAACCTTATGCTCATCCCATTACACACTTTAATTTGAAACAAACTTCGAACCTTCTCGCCAAACTGATCATCTTTATAATGATTATTAACCACCGACTTCCACAACCAAGAAGCATTATTAGGTACTTTGCTGTTAAAAAAAATCAGATTAGTGTTCAAATTGTATTTGGAGCAAATCATCTTCTTCCAAACTGAATCCCTACCATTGGCAAACTTCCAAAACCATTTTTCTAATAATGCGGTCAAAGTTTTCCGAGGGAGAAATTCAAACATTTATGTCTATAGATGCAGATCGAACTGTCAATTTATGCAACAGTTTCCATGACATGTGGAGGTAATCCCTTAATCACACATAATGTATAAAGCATACTGTTCTAGAAATAGAATAGTGAGAGTAAGATATATCTTTGTGGAAAGTGGTAACCAAACTGTCAATTTATGCAACAGCTTCCATGACATGCGAACGTAATTCTTAAATCACACATATCGCCTAGTTCATTCTGTTCCAGAAACTTCATTAACACAAAGTTCTGAAACCTTCAATTTTAAAATTTACTTTGACAGTTGTTGTAAGACACTTTCTGCTGGATGCCATTATCGGTCAATCCTCTTTCTTGCTTCTACTCACTAACCTTACATGTCGATTGTTGTTGAGTTTGATATGCCTTGTTTATAATTGAAAATACTATTTTACATTTATTTTGGCTATTCATTCCTTTATATATTTGAGCATCTGATGCTTTATCATCAATTTTACATTTGCAAACTCTCATCTCAGTGTTTATCAGTCAGCATAGCAGAACGGTCAAAGTTTTCCGAGGGAGAAATTCAAACATTTATGTCTATAGATGCAGATCGAACTGTCAATTTATGCAACAGTTTCCATGACATGTGGAGGTAATCCCTTAATCACACATAATGCATAAAGCATACTGTTCTAGAAATTGAATAGTGAGAGTAAGATATATCTTTGTGGAAAGTGGTAACCAAACTGTCAATTTATGCAACAGCTTCCATGACATGCGAACGTAATTCTTAAATCACACATATCGCCTAGTTCATTCTGTTCCAGAAACTTCATTAACACAAAGTTCTGAAATCATGAACTGAGAATCATTAAACCCAAACTATGAATAGTCATACCATTTTTACTAGAAATATAATTATTTTTTCTTTTCATGAATAAAAAAAGGTCCATTGCATGTGTTGTAATGTCTAGGTTGAATTGAAATCAGAACACTTACCCCTTGCTTACATTTTTTTTCAGCCTACCTTTACAGATTGGAATTGCACTGTATCTTCTATATACACAAGTGAAATTAGCTTTCATGGCTGGACTTGCAATAACCATCTTACTAATACCAGGTACTGCTACAAATTATGACTTGATTTTCCTTTTGGGTATAAAATAAATCTTAATCTTAAGTATGCAATTTTCTTTCATTTGGTTCTGTAGTTATTACTCTTACCATTTAAACATACTTGTCCATCCATCCTCCATGTAGGAGCATTTGGTCAATTCAAACTTTCTGTTTGTTTGAGGTTTGGTAACCAAGAAAAACTACAGCCTTTTGGCATCTTTTGGCATCTTATGGCTTTTATACTTCTTGACGGTGAAATCTCTATGTTATTGTGGTTGCTTTCACTATTCCTAAATGTCTAGATTGACCTTCTCGTATGCTACTAAGTTTAAGGTGTATCCATCCACCTCCTCCAAGGGCTAAGAAACTAGCATAAAAACTTGCTGCCAAAGCCATGCCTAGCTTGTTTCAAAGAGTTGGGATGCTTTCTGCCATATTTGGTATATCTAGATTCTAATCTTGACAGGTAGAGCATTTTTATGGATATTTTACTTGGTATTTACCTGTTCTTTTCATGAACTTTTTTTTGTCAAAATAAAATCTGCAAAAAGAAAAAAAAATGCAGAAGGTTTAAAAGACAAGCATACATGTATACAATCAAAACCTCAAAAGCTCATACTTCCTGCACAAAAGAGACTTAGGTAACTTTCTGCTAAAAACATATTTTCAATTAAGAGTTAGAATAAGTAACCTAAAATTGCTAAATCTCAAAAACATGTTTCTGGTCTATGAAAATAATAGTTATCACAACTGAATTCATGGATGTGAGGCAAAATAGTTGATGCATATCAATTTGAAGCCACACTCTCTTTGAGAGAATTGGTAAATTTTTTGATTGCCATAAAAGGAAGTAGCAATGGAGGAGATTGTAATGTAGTACTCTCTGAAGAAATACTCTTAAAATTTTCATTTTCTGATCCTAATTTTTAAAACTAAAATAAAAATTGCTATGGTAAATTTCTTCTTTTCAGAAGAGGCGATTAATTGGAATAAATTATGATAATTTATTTCTTAAATAGGTTTAGTTTGTGTATGATGTGAAATATGATGTTATCTACGTTTGTAATAAATGTTATTGTAAAACTTTGCACTCAGTTATGTGGTCATGATTTTAGTTGAAAATCTCTCAAGATTCTTCATTGCAGTATAATATGGCGCAGATAATTACTCTTAGATCAGCTTAGAATTTTCAAACTGTGGAGCTGCCTTGTTACTGTACATTCCTTGAAATGTTTTCAAACAATTTGCTGTATAGTTCTTATTGTTTAAATTTCATATATGCAGTCAATAAATGGATTTCTGAATTGATTGCAAGTGCCACTGAGAAAATGATGAAGCAAAAGGATGAGAGGTATGTTCACTCTTTTCACATAATTTTTTTATAGCGCGATAAAGTTTGCCAAAACATTGAACCTGCCTAAACCATTACTCATTAAGATAAAACCAAGAAGTTTGTTTATATATATTATATATGTATATATATATATATTGTGTGTGGGTGTGGGTGGGGGGTAAGTCCTCAAATCATGCTAATTGGTTTTGAGAAAAATCTTAAAAGCAAAAGGTATGAACTGGGTGAATTCAGAAATACCTTCAGGTCTGACTGCTGACAGTCAGGTGGTGCCTTAGTTGATCAAATGGGCAGAGAAGCAAATGCAATTGTTGAAATTTTTTAGCAAACAAGGCTAATGTTACTGGTGTACATATTCTTCGTGGTAAAGATGAGTTTACAACCAAAACTGCTTGTTTGATTGTTTAAGAGCAGGTTAGCAAGATGACATGGTTTAATCTTGTCTGGTTTAAGCATGACTTCTCTGCGGAGAACTTCGTTCTGTGGTTGGAAAAAGGAAATTGTTAACAAGCTATTGACTAGTGCATTGAGATAGTCATATTCCTTCATCGTGTGAGACACAGGGTTCTAGTGACAAAAGCATCTCACATTTCTTACTGTTTCCTGTGGTTTTTCTACAATGGTTTGTGATTGTGAAGTAGTGCTTCCAATAGTAAATGTTGCAGAATTGCTCAAGATTTGAACTATGGGACTAGATAGATGTCGAATAACTTTTGTCTGGGTGATCTGAGGCACTCCATGTGTTTTTATAGAGTTTGTGGAAAAGTTAAAATGTTATGGTGAGAGATTGCAGCAACTTTAGAATATGCAATGATGTGAAAATGAAGCTTAACAGTGTGCAACATGGTGCTTAACAGTGTGTCCCTTCCATGGTTTGGAAAGACATTAATTTCTCAGAAAGAAAGGACTATCATTATTATGTTGATGATGAGTAGCAATCACAGTGACGTCATAAAGTTATGTATAGAAATTATTGTACAAACTATTTATGTCCAAATGTTCTTTGGCAGGATTAGGAGGACAGGAGAACTTTTGGCCCACATTCGCACGTTAAAGATGTATAGCTGGGAGATCCTTTTTTCTAGTTGGTTGAAGGATACGAGATCTTTGGAAGTGAAACACTTAGCTGTATGATGCCATGCTTTTTATTCTTGGACTTTTTAGCATAATAATTAACATGACTCGTTCTGTTCTCTTACTGTAGCTGGATATTTTGATTCTTAATTAATCTTTGAATTTTAGACACGGAAGTACTTGGATGCCTGGTGTGTATTCTTTTGGGCTACAACACCAACTCTTTTCTCTTTATTCACATTTGGACTCTTTACATTGATGGGACATCAGCTTGATGCTGCAATGGTATTTAGGCTATATTTCAGCGCATAAAAACTTGATGATTTCAATTTTGGTTTCAAATATTCTGTGTATCTAAGGAATAACATGAAGCTCATCACTGTTTCAGGTCTTCACATGTCTTGCACTTTTTAATAATCTGATATCTCCTCTCAATTCATTCCCATGGGTTATCAATGGGCTTATTGATGTGAGTCTCCTTGTACCATGACCTTAGAACAGCTTCTCATACTTAGTAGCAGTTATTATTGAGAATGAAAATGCCTCATTTTTCCTTGCTTCTCTGCAGGCTTTTATATCTAGCAGAAGGTTGAGCAGGTTCCTATGTTGTTCTGAACAAAAACCCGAAGTGGAACAGAAAGTTAAATTTCAACAAATTTTCTCAAATGAAAAATATGATCTTGCCTCCAATGATATGGCAGTAGTTATGCATGATGTATCTTGTACTTGGTCAAGCAGTAACGAAGATCAGAATTTGATTTTGAATCATGTCACACTAAATCTCCCAAAGGGTCTGCTGGTTGCAGTAGTTGGAGAGGTGCAATTTATTAAGCTATTTTAGCATTCCACTTTATCTCTAATTTGCTATCTTATCTTGCTGAGTGTTTGCATGACATAGTAATCATATGGAAAAATTAGAAAACATAATTTTCTACAAAAGAGGTGCTTGTGCCTGCTTAACATGGATGTTAGGGAACATTAATTCAAAAGTTTGTGAATAAATTTCCAATAGAGGTATGTATTAATTTATGTGGTATAACAACCTACTGTTTATAAATGGAGTAATTTTTATTGTATCAGTAAAAGTTATCACTTACAGCTTCAACCACATTATTCATTCTGATAAAAAGTGAGAACAATAAAAATGAAGTGAATTGGTTGCAATACAAAAGAGTTTTTTCTTTTTACTTGCTGCTTTCATGGGAGAAGAATGAAATGGAACCTAGCAGTTGATAAAATTATAGATCTACACTATTATAAGAAGATCCAGCATTTTTTACATCCATTTCACTACTACTATCTTATCTTCAGGTTGGTTCAGGCAAATCATCTTTGTTAAATTCAATATTGGGAGAAATGAGGCTTGTTCTTGGATCAATATATTCAAGTGGCTCTGTCGCATACGCACCACAGGTCTGCATATTCATACTAGATTCTTCAGGTTTCTTTTAACTTTTTTCTTTATAACGTGATCTTATTTTTGCATTTGTTTATATTTTAGATTCCATGGATCTTATCTGGAACAATACGTGACAATATATTGTTTGGGAAGAATTTAGACTCACAAAGGTATCATCCTATTGAGAGAATTATTTTCTTTCATTGTATGCATGTGTGGTGTAGGGTGGGTTAGGATCTTATTACACTAGTGCAAGAACTAGCAACTTTTTCATTCAATCTGATAATCTATTTTTTAATATAATTCATTAACCATTAGGTAAAAAGTGATAGATATACATCACTTTAGTCCTAGTTTATATTAAGTCCCGGACAACCCTTTCTCCTCCACTTATTAAAATAAAAAAATAAATTGTTATAGGTCGAACCTATGATAGGGAAGGCCATTAATTTTGATTCTCTAATTAAGGCTTAGGTTGTGATTTTATTTTGGTAGGTTTAATCCTTTCTGGAATAGGTTTCCAATTTATGTAATAAGATTGTTCCTCAATTAAAAGAAAGTATTGAATAGTAAAACTTAAGTAGAGTTTCTATCGAACCCCCCCTAAATAGATCTGTGTGTCTTTCTAATATTTCAGTCTCCCTTTAATGATTCAATCTAATTAACTGGATTATCAGAACTTTTGACAGGATTGGAGTTAGTAAACTGGATTTTTGTGTTTCCTGAGGTAGAAATAGGAGGGGGGATTCTAATGAAATATAGGGCATGATTAAAAAACTGCCAAAAAAGTTGCAGGTAGACAAAGGTTGTCAGTGATTAGATGATATTAAGGAATCAGTCCATGATCATTTTTGTAAAGAAGAAAAAACTTTTTAAGCAATAAAAGCTTGTAGGAAATACTATATTTTGGCTAGAAGAGAAATCAAGTATAGGCAGAAACAAAAACAATGATGGTAATGAAATTTAACTAGCTTTGATACCATGAAAATTGATAAGATAGCTTTTCTTCAGAAGCTCACCATTATGCTATATTCATCAATTATTTACAGGTAAAATGTGATGAGTATATACAAATTTATAATAAATTAAGTTTTTTCATAAATAAATAATAAGTATTTAGATAGACCAAGACTATGAGATAAATACATGATGAATACAAAAAAATAAAATTAAAACAATTGAAATGCCTCAACAATCAACTGAATCATTCAAACTTTCTAACAACCACACATATCAAATTTTAGAAAATGGCATAAGTGATATGCGCGTGCATGTGTAACGGTTATAATTCTATGATGGAATAGAAAAGTTTGAGCACATGTAGAACCAGATATTTGTCTAATGTAGACTATCTCTATCTTCTTTTATTCATTGATCAGGTACGCAGATACTTTACAGGCATGTGCTCTAGATGTTGATGTTTCATTGATGGCTGGACATGATTTGGCTTATATTGGAGAGAAAGGAACCAACTTATCAGGTGGACAGAGAGCTCGTCTTGCTTTGGCAAGGTTCATATTCTTCTTGTACTTGTTGATGTTAGCTTCTGGATAGATTAGCATGAAATATTGTTAGTTACACTACAGAATAATTGTTGCTCTCTGTGTACGAAGCAGGGCCATTTATCAGGATTCCGATGTTTATTTGCTTGATGACATCCTTAGTGCAGTTGATGCACATGTTGCTAAATGGATTTTTCAAAAAGCTATTCTTGGTCCTCTTGTGGAGCACAAGACTCGTATTCTCTGCACTCATAATGTCCAGGTTATTCTGTGATTTTTATTGGTTTTGCTCTATTATTAGCCATATATTTACTTGGACAGCAACATAAGGTTTGATTGTGCACAACCCAAGCTTTTTTGGAACACTTCAGATAGGCAATAGTTACCCTGAAAGTCTCTTGTATACAGATTGTAAGTTGGTTCGTAAGTTACTACAGAATTGTTAGCTGTACAAACTTATTTTTGAACTTAAGATAAATCTCCATGCAGAGATCCTTTAAATAAGCGGGAAATGGAGCATGAGTTGTCTGTTGCTGTATTGTAGTTTTCATCTAGTTTTAGACTATCCTTCACTGAGTTTGGTGCTCAGAAAAAAGTTAAATGTTTACTAGTGGTTAATAATAAAATTAGCTCATAGTGGTAATGAACATAATTGATTTGAAATAATTCCAGTATTTTTTTTTTCTATCTGATAATAGCCTTTCAACCTTATCAGGCAATATCTTCTGCTGACATGATTGTTGTAATGGAAAGAGGGCACATTACGTGGGTAGGAAACTCGGCTGACTTAGCAGTTTCAGCTTATTCAGGGTTTGCATCAGTTAATGAATTTGATGCATCATATATTCATAGTAAACTGTACATCACAAATACTTCCAACATGGACAAACAAAGTCCCATTTCAGAGAAAGATACTTTGGATGTCCCATTGGAAGCACAAGAGATTATTGAAGCTGAGCAGAGGAAAGAGGGTAAAGTTGAACTTATTGTTTACAAGTAAGTTATTTGTATTTTGTGTTCATCATTTATGATACTTTGTACTTGAATTTCTCAGAAGTATCTTCATCTAGGTTCTATTTTGTCTTTTATTGTTAGATTTTTATAATTCATAATTTGTTTAACTTCGCAGAAAATATGCTGGATTTTCTGGTTGGTTCATTTCAGTTGTGATATTGCTTTCAGCAATTTTAATGCAAGCTTCTCGAAATGGAAATGATCTGTGGCTATCATATTGGGTTGATACGACAGGGATCAGTCAAGCCAAATACTCAACATCCTTTTTTCTGGTAGCTCCCACCATTGGATATGCAATTGCGAGTAAAATCTTACACAATTTCCATTATCAGTAGTTTACTTGATGGGTTCTTTACATTTTGTGCTATCATACAAGGAGTAATCATTTTGAGCTCAATTTCCGTGAAACTGTTATATCCTATATTGCATTTTTTTTCCTTTAGGGCTTAATTTTAGAACATTTCATTATCTTTAACCTGGTAATCGAGTCTCTCTCCCTCACGTCTTGAATACTTTCTCATGCCATAGAAATAATTCAGTTATTCCATTTAATTTAAACTTTTAGAGGTGGATTCTCCAAAAATTAACACATACGTTATGTATTCATTAAATAAAATCCCGGAATATTATCGCCAGGAGCGTGCTTGTATAACTTATCTAAAGACCTGACAACCCATTTCAACCAGCGCTGACCAAAACTTTATGCAATCCAAGCTCACACTAAATGTCACCTTTGGCAGAGTAAAAGTGACACATGTTGATCTTGAACTCCAGCAACCTGACTTAAATTTCTTGTAACTTGACCTAAACCAATTTGAGTTGACATGAAAAGAAAATAGCTTAAAAATCAGAAAGTTTAGTCTCAAAATCTTTTCATGTTCTGATATTTGATTGAAACTCTTCTATGGATCGAACTGCTTCGGAATCCCTCTTGTCTGACTACCAGTGCTCTGATATTCTCATGCTATGTTAGTGCTGCGTTAGGGAGAATTTAAAGCAATTGGAAAGGAAAGGAGAGAAGAGGGGCGTGAGGAGAAATAGAGAAAAGGGTATCATGTGTAGGCATCTTCTGTTTTCTGATCTAGTTATCAAATGGTGTTGCAGCTGGTACTTTGCATCTTCTGCATCATTAATTCTTCTCTGACCTTGGTGAGGGCGTTCTCGTTTGCATTTGGTGGTTTAAAAGCTGCAGTTCAGGTACATAATACACTGCTTAATAAGGTTATCAATGCTCCTGTCCAGTTCTTTGATCAAACACCAGGTGGACGAATACTTAACAGGTTAGACTGAGATACCTTATTGGACACCGTGAAAATTTATGATTAATTAGCACATATAAAACTTTTTTTTTTTCATATAGGTTCTCATCAGATCTCTATACAATTGACGATTCTCTCCCATTCATCCTCAACATTCTTCTGGCTAATTTTGTGGGCCTGTTGGGAATAGCAGTAGTTTTGTCTTATGTTCAGGTATTGTGGACATCCATTACTTTGATTCTATGATCTTCCGGATTTCAATAAATTAAATAACCCTATAGATGAACTTCTGATGGAAATGATTTACTTGAAATCTGTAGGTCTTTTTCTTGCTTCTACTATTGCCATTTTGGTACATCTATAGCAAGCTACAGGTATTTGATTGACTTTATCATTTCCATTCCTTGAAATACATTTATCGTTTATACGTTCTTACGGAACTTAAGGAGGTTTCTGTATATATGAGTACCTGCATAAATGAAAACTTGTTTGAAATGAGAATAGTGAGGAATAAATGAAATTTTCAATTTCAAGAAACAAAATGGTTGGTGACCTGAAGAAATGAAGCTGAAGATATATAAATTATCGGACAATTGTAAGTATTAAGGTGGATGTGATACCCTCAGTGCAGAACTCAGTATATCTATTATGATTGATATAAGACTAATGAAAAAAGAAAGAAAAAAAAACGACTTTGAAACAAGGTAGAGTTCAATGGATCCTCCTGATTAACAATGAAACTTATTTTATGTTTGCAGCAGTTTAGTTAAGTACTCTTTACTCAGTCAAAAGTTCTGTAGTTCTTCTACAGGTCAACATCTAGGGAACTGCGAAGATTGGACAGTGTCTCACGCTCTCCAATTTATGCATCTTTCACAGAGACACTTGATGGTTCATCAACTATACGAGCTTTCAATTCTAAGGTAGATTTTGGATCTTAATAACCCCTTTTGATTAGTTCTTTTAGATGTTTGTAGGTCAAAGGAATAAAGCGAATCCGTTCTAAATAACGTGAGAGTCTATAAAACCTTGTAAGTTCTTCAGAAAGTTTTGTAAGAGTGCTCGTCTTAAAAATGAACGCTATTCACCCTATACCTGGAACTGCTTTATGGGTTGAATTTTCCATGTTGAAATTGTGAAAGATAAAGTGCAGATGTAAACATTATTTTTTGTTTAAAAAGAAGCTAGAGAACTCATAGTTGTTCTGTTATTTATTAATGGAAGCTGCGTAGAAAGACTGATATAATTTTAGAGGAAAAGAGCCTTAGTGATTGTTGTGACTTGGTCTAAACAGGATTATTTCTTGGCTAGATTCACTGAGCTTGTAGAACAGTATCAGAGAACTTCATATTCAGAGTTAATTGCGAGTTTGTGGCTTTCCCTGCACCTTCAGGTATATTGGCATCTGTTCAAGAGTTAGCTAGTTATTCCAAAACTTTATGCGGTGGAAGTAATACTTGGAAGTTATACTTGTAATTAGTACTTTGTTTTCTTCTTCTACAGTTATTAGCCGCTTCCATAATCTCATTTATTGCTGTGATGGCTGTTATTGGATCCCATGGCAGTTTACCAATTAGTTTCGGCACCCCAGGACTGGTATATTCCTGAATTTCTTCGAAGTTGAACTTTAGGTTTCTCATTTTAGGAATAAAAGGAAATGGTTGGAGCTCTTTAGTATTTCCTTATATTTGGGAACCAAATGGATAATCTGTGTCCTTTGTTCTTCTACAGGTAGGATTAGCTCTTTCATATGCAGCTCCAATTGTTTCCTTGTTGGGAAGCTTCTTGACAAGTTTTACTGAAACGGAAAAAGAAATGGTTTCAATGGAGAGAGCTCTTCAGGTGTAGAGATAGATCTTTTCTTTATTCATTCATATATATTCTTCCTGCTGATTATATGCTCTGATACTCTTTTGTCTAGTATATGGATGTGCCTCAAGAAGAACTCCATGGATTTCAGTATTTATGTTCGAGTTGGCCTTCTCAAGGAGTAATCGAGTTTCAAAATGTTACCATGAAATATATGCCATCTTTGCCAGCAGCACTAAATAATATCACCTTTACAATAGCAGGAGGGACACAGGTTAAATAGATTTGCAGTTTTGTTAGTTGCAAGTTGCAACTTGATCAATCTATGACTCAAAGTCCTCAGATGGGATGCAGATTTCCCTGATGGTTTTTTGTTTTTGTTTTTAATATATATATATTCTCAGGTTGGAATTGTTGGAAGAACTGGTGCTGGAAAATCTAGTGTTTTGAATGCCCTTTTTCGCCTAACCCCAATATGCGGAGGGTGGATTTTGGTGGATGGCTTGAACATAGTTGATATTCCTGTTAGAGATCTCCGTGCACACTTGGCTGTGGTTCCCCAGAGCCCATTTTTGTTTGAAGCATCATTAAGGTACTCATCTACAATCTAATGGGTTTTTTTATCATTTGCCTGACATATATGGTGATAATTTCAAGGCACATCTGGATCATCATATTATCATGATTTTCTGGCTTGTGATAGTCAATAGTAATATATAATCGTAAGATCTTAGTCGATACGCAAATCATAGCTCATATAAAATGTGAGGAAGTCATTTGATGTTATTCTCTCTGGCTTTCTTCTTGGGGCACCATAATAAAAAATAATCAGCTTGGACTTGGTTACAATTTAGTTAGCTTTCTGTTTGTGTCTTCCTAATTATTTTTAGGGACAACCTGGATCCTCTCCGGATGAGCAACGACACAGAAATATGGGATATTTTAGAGAAATGTCATGTAAAGGGGGAAGTGGAAGCGGCAGGAGGGCTTGAAGCTCAGGTAAAGGAAGCTGGGACATCATTTTCTGTTGGGCAAAGGCAACTCCTGTGCCTTGCACGTGCTCTTCTCAAGTCTTCTAAGGTAAATTAAGAGATGGCGCTTTGATACTAAATAAAATTAAACAATCCATATGCTCTCACATTCTTTTGCATGGAAAATTAAACCTTGGTTGGCGAATGAAGAAAGGCACTAACTGTACTGAATTTTTTTAGGTTCTTTGCTTGGATGAATGCACGGCAAGTGTTGATATGCAGACAGCTTCAATTTTACAAAAAACTATATCCACGGAATGCCGAGGAATGACAGTGATCACAATCGCACACCGTATTTGGACAGTTTTGAATATGGACAATGTATTGGTTCTCAATCAAGGAACCCTGGTGCGTTTTCTTAATTTCTTTCTTGGTTGTTATATTATATAAAATTTTCTCGCTCTTGCTTGTCCGTCGCAATGATGATATCCAGTGCTTTAAAGAATAATCTGGCTTCTACTTTAGGTTTCAACTCATTCAATCTTGCACTCGTACAGGTTGAGGAAGGTAACCCAAATGCTCTTCTACAAGATGAATCCTCCATATTTTCAGGCTTCGCTAAAGCGTCTGTAATGTAGATATGGTAGAATCAATCATTTTGTTGTTTCTGTACGCATAATAATTAACAAGGCACAGGTAGGAACACTCCAACTGTAACTTTTAATCAGTTGGAAACTTGACAGCAACTAGCACATGTTTCAATATTTTTAGGGTAAACTATACGTTTAATAACTAAATTATTACTTTTGTTCTGTTTTAGTACTTAAATTTTATTTTTTTTCAAAATCATACCTAACGTTTAGTTTAAGTTTTAATTTAGTATCCACCGTTAAAACATAATGGCACTAATGATGTGGAATTATTTTTCTTTGAAATTTCACTCATGTTTCCATTATACATATCACCATTACATGTGGAAATGTGGAAATTAAAGGGTCGACCATCAAATTCATCTGCATCTAATCTTTCTTCTATTATTGTTGGCTTGCTCGTCGTTGTCGCAAGTAATGGATATCTAGTAGCCATAAATGTTGCCAAAGCATGCAAACGATTTGCCACTGTCGGAGTGTCTTCTAGTGTTGAAGTATGGTGACTAGCATTCGCTGGTCCACTTGTTCATAGCAGCTTCTCCTAACGTTTGTGGAACGTTCTGGTCCAGTGTGCAACAGATCACTGTCTGTGTAGTTACAACAGTCGGTTATTGTTGTTAAGCAGTTAGAATTTTGTTAGAGCAGTTGTAGTTCAGTTAGTCTCTACATTCTTGTTGAACTTTGTAATTTGCTAGCTATATAAGTCATGTAAGATTGAAAGAATAAATATAAGAGAGTGTTACCTGTCACCAGCTTTATCCTCTTTCTCACGGTTGTTGAGCTCTTTCAACATGGTATCATTCGCTGATATATCCTAGGGTGTGCTTCCACTGTTCCTTTTCCATGGATCACAGTACCTCGACTACAGCCACTTCAATGGAGTTCTCGTCAAGGAACACTAAAGTCTTCACCAATAAAAGAGTGAACGTCGTGCTTGATGAAACTAATTTTCTGTTGTGGAAACAACAGATTCTGCTCACTGCAAGAAGCCATCGCCATGAAAGAATGCTTAGTGGTACGATGCTCCCACCTCCAGAAACAGTGGTTGGTAAAGATGGAGTTGTAACCGCCAATGAAGAACATGAAGAATTCTTGGCTCAAGATAGTGCATTAGTTTCTTGCTGCTTTCAACAATTAGCCCTCATCTTCTTCCACAGTTTGTTGGTGCCGAAACGTCTGCCCAAGTATGGAACAAGGCCTTTCAATTCTTTGCCAATCGCTCTACCACTGCAGTCATGAGCCTACACTACAAGCTCCAGTCCCTCAAGAAAGGAGGAGATAGCATGCGATCTTATCTCACAAAAGTGAAAGAAGTCACTGATGCCTTGTACTCTTGTGGAAGCCCAGTGGCAGCATCTGAGCACATTGCGAGTATTCTCAAGGGCCTTACAAGGGAGTACCAACCATTTATCGCGGTTATATCTGCTATGCGTGACACTCTGTCACTCGACAATATATGCACAATGCTTATTGACGCTGAAACTCAGCTTGAAGGCTTTGATTATCAACCTGACTCCTTACCTGTTAGTGCCAATCTTGCACAAGGAAAAGGCGAGGTTGAATCATACAAAAACCAAGAAAAGCAGCAGTCTCGGTCGAATCACTCGTCCTACTCGCGTGGTAGGTCTCGTGGCAGAGGCAGGACACGATCGAGAGTTCAATGCCAACTGTGTGGCAAAATTGGTCATCTAGTAAGCCAATGTTGGCACAGGTTCGATGAAGACTTTTTTGGTATTTCGATTGACGATCACACGGCTGGCTCTGACTCCTCTAGACTCTAGAGCATACTATGTTGTAACTAGTAACAATGAAAGCACTTGTGCTTGTTGTAATCATAACAGCACACATCGTGGTGACAACAGGAGTACTACGAAAAGCCAAGCTCATGCAGTATCTGCTGGCCATGATCAGTGGATAATTGATTCTGGTGCTACACACCATGTCACGCCCAACGAAGCCTCCTTAACGCCTCACTCGAGCTATGCTAATCCTGGTAAGTTGATGGTAGGAAGTGGAGACTACCTACCAGTTCACTTGGTTGGTAAGGCTGAGTTGAATACTTCTTCTAGAACTTTGGCCTTAAGCAACATTTTGCATGTTCCATCAATAACGAAAAACTTACTTTCTGTTTCTAAGCTTGCTAAGGAAAATAGTGTGTTCCTCGAATTTCATGCCAAGACATGTTATGTTCGAGATGAGGCCTCCAAGATAGTTTTGCTGCAAGGAGAAGAGTGCAATGGATTATATACGTTCAAAGCAAGTAGACATCAATGCCAAAACAGTATAGTTGAAGCACAAACTGTGATAGCTTCCTCTACAATCTCAGAAATATGGCACAGAAGACTGGGCCATCCAACTCATGACACACTTGCTAAAGTTTGTAAACAATTCAATATAAAAGCATTAGATGATATTAATAAAAACTGCATTGCTTGCCATCTTGGTAAAAGCCACAAGTTACCATTTCCTTGCTCGGACAGTGTTTATGACAAACCGTTTGAATTCGTTTATTCAGATTTGTGAGGACCTCCACATGTCTCATCCAATGGCTTTAGATTCTATATGTCATTTGTTGATGCTGCCACACGGTTCACGTGGATGTATCTTCTGAGGACAAAGGATGAAGCCTTAACTGCATTCAATCTGTTTCAAAAGTTGATTGCCACACAATTTGGTGCGTCAGTCAAAGCTCTCCAAACTGACTGGGGAGGTGAATTTCGACTCTTGACCAATGAGCTGAGCAAAGCGGGTGTGGTTCATCGCGTCACCTGTCCCCACACGTCCGAGCAGAACGGAGTAGTGGAACGAAAGCACATACATCTTGTCGAGATGGCCTTGGTGTTACTTGCACAAGCATCCATGCCTATCAAGTACTGGTCCTATACCATTCAAACCACTGCACATCTTGTAAACAGGCTTCCTTCAAAAGTGCTTATGCACAAGTCACCGTTTGAGATGCTATATGGCAAGCCACCAGACTACAGTAGCCTGCGAGTGTTTGGGTGCAGGTGCTTCCCACACTTAAGACCGTTTCTGCAACACAAGTTAGAGTTTCGATCCCAGCCATGTACATTCTTGGGATACAACACGCAACACAAAGGTTTTCAGTGTATGGCAAGCAATGGGCGAATCTATATTTCCAGACATGTTGTCTTTAATGAAAGTGTTTTTCCTTTAACAGGAAACTCTGATGGAGCCTCGCTTACCACTCCAATTGGGAACACCTCTCGGTCGCTCAAACTGGTCACTAATGTCACCAGATTAGAGCCTCCACGAGCTGATCATAACAGACTGTCTTTAAGTGCTACCAGGAGCAGCTCAGTAAGCAGTCCACAAAGCCCAATTACCAGTCAAGATGAGTTGGAAGCTGTGATTGCCCCTGCGGTTCCTGCTGATGATACTCATGAAGGTTATCAAGATGAGTTATGTTCTGAACAAAATGTGCATAACTCTCTCGATGACACTGAAGATGAAGTACAAAATCCAGTAGTAAATGATGGCACTGAAAATGAGGTTGCTCGGGCCAATAACCACCCAATGATGACTCGAAGTAAATACGGTGTGTATAAACCCAAAACTTACCTAGAAACTGTTGTTGATGATGTTCCATGCAGTGTACATGAGGCACTTAAGTCTCCAGAATGGAAGGCTACTATTCTTGAAGAATACAGTGTGTTACAACGCAATGAGACTTGGGAACTAACCAAGCCACATGAAGGAAGGAAGTTGATAGGTTGTAAGTGGCTCTTTAAGGTCAAGAAAAATCCTGATGGCACTGTCCATCGCTACAAGGCACGACTAGTGTGGCGAAGGGGTTTTCTCAGATTCCTGGCTATGATTTTCAGGACACATTCAGCCCTGTAGTCAGGTTCAACACACTGAATGTCATACTATCATTGGCTGTAACCAACAATTGGACCCTAAGGTAGGTCGACGTGAATAATGCCTTTTTGAACGGTGACCTACAAGAGGTGGTCTTCATGCAGCAGCCGCTTGGGTTCGAACAAAATGCCCCCGATGGAAGCAAACTGGTGTGCTGCCTGAAGAAGACGTTGTATGGGTTAAGGCAAGCACCAAGGAGCTGGCATACTAAGCTTCGAGATAGCTTGCTGAGCATTGGGTTCAAAGAATCGAAAGCAGACGTGTCTTTGTTCATTAAGAAGGATGACCAACACTATGTGTACCTACTAGTTTATGTTGATGATATCATTATCACAGGCCACTCGAGTGACCAAGTCAATGAAGTAGTTCGGTTACTGAGTGACAAATTCTCCCTAAAAGACTTGGGACAGCTCGCATACTTTCTGGGAATTGAAGTCAAACGAGCTAATGGCTACCTTGCACTCTCACAAAAGAAGTTCATCTTGGAGCTCATTGAGAAAGCTGATATGCTGAAAGCATCCTCAACACCAACTCCGATGGTGGCATCTACCAAACTACGTTGTGACGATGGAGAACTCATCCCCGATGCTCAGTTCTATCGCAGCATTGTTGGAGGGCTGTTGTACGTGTGTCATACAAGACCTGACATTGCTTTATGTGTTAACAAAGTCGCCCAATTCATGCACGCTCCACGTCAATCCCACTTGGCTGCAGTTAAGCGAATCCTGCGGTACTTGGCTGGCACATTGGATTTTGGCCTAACTTTCACTGCTGCTGGAACTGGTATGAAGGTGGCTGCCTTTGCTGATGCCGACTGGGGGAGGCAACCTCGATGACAGGAGGTCAGTTTCTGGGCACAGTGTGTTTGTTGGAAACAATCTAGTTGCATGGAGCTCAAAGAAACAAAAGTCTGTGTCGAGATCCACCATGGAGGCAGAGTACAAGAGTGTTGCTGATACAGCCGCTGATGTGGTATGGGTTGGAGCCCTGTTGTCTGAACTTGGTATATGTCAGAAAGAGGAGCCTGTCATATGGTGTGACAACACCAGTGCAACAGCTCTCAGCGCCAATCCAGTCTACCATGCTCACACCAAACACGTTGACCTGGATATACATTTTGTTCGCGAGAAGGTTGCTGCCAAACTGATGAAGGTCAATTATGTTCCAGCTGCTCATCAGATTGCTGATGGATTAACAAAGCCTCTAGCACGTAATGCCTTTGAAGAATTTCATGCGAAGTTATGTGTAAAGCTGTGTTGAGAAGAAGGAGAGGAGAGAAAGCAGGAAGAATGTTGAAGTATGGTGACTAGCATTCGCTGGTCCACTTGTTCATAGCAGCTTCTCCTAACGTTTGTGGAACGTTCTGGTCCAGTGTGCAACAGATCACTGTCTGTGTAGTTACAACAGTCGGTTATTGCTGTTAAGCAGTTAGAATTTTGTTAGAGCAGTTGTAGTTTAGTTAGTCTCTACATTCTTGTTGAACTTTGTAATTTGCTAGCTATATAAGTCATGTAAGATTGAAAGAATAAATATAAGAGAGTATTACCTGTCACCAGCTTTATCCTCTTTCTCACGGTTGTTGAGCTCTTTCAACATCTAGCATGTCTTCTTTCGAAGATCACAATGTTAGACCCAGACCAGTAACTAGAACCGTCGTTGCTCCAATTGTGAATCGACATCAGTTCAGTTCTACTCTATTCCAGCTTTGATCAAAGCCATTTGATATTTTCGTCATCTAAACTCCACCATAATATGGAACTCTAACAATCATCGAATCTGTTATGGTGCATGTTTTTTGCTATGATGTTGTATGAACCCTTCGTGGGTATCTTAGGCTGCAAATCGGAAAGTAAAACTGAACTTGAATCGCTCTTTGTTCGTTGGAGCTTCGGTTTACCAAATGAACCAGGAAAGGACTATGGTTCTCATTGTCGTGCTGGAAACTGAGTACTCTTCTTCGCACATTAAACGCTTGTACCTAATCGTCGATGACCCCATTTGAAGATACAGCGGCATACTCCTCTTTGAGCTATCGTTCAACGTCAACCCGATGTTTAATATCCCATGCGATTGACCTGATGGTCTCTAAACCTGAAGCAAAGGGTCTGACCGCTTAATATTTTATATTTCCACGTGTAATGGTGATATGGACAACTGAAACAGGCGTGGAATTTTGGAAAAGAGAATAATTCCACATCATCGATCGGTGTTGTTAAGTCTTTAACAGCGGTGTATCAAATTGAAACCTAAATTAAAAATTATGTATGATTTTTTAAAAAAAATAAAATTTGACTATCAAAATAGAAGGAAAAATAATAAATTATATACTAAACGTGTAGTTTACCCGTTTTTTAACTCACACAATTTTATTTAAAATCAAATAAATTATTATAAACATTAAATTAAATAAGCAATTCAAACACACATATTTTGGAATCACAAAGTTCAAGGGCTTCTTCTTTACAAACGCGAGAGAAGATCGGAAGAATGATAATTAAAATATAGAGAGACATAATAGTAAAAAAAAATCCGGTATTTGTTATTTTTTTTCTACCGTGTTTTTTAAGTTTTTATTTTTAATTTAAATTATATTCTTTAATTTTCTTAGATAAATCGTTTTATGGCGTAATTAAAAAATAAATAATGATATTTTTTATTATTATATATTTTCACTCTTAATTTAAAATCTATTTTGTCTTTGAATATTACAATAAAAAATCATTATTAAGGACCCAATTCAAATGAGAGAGAAAATTTCTTTAGTCTTATGAACTTGTGATGTGGTTTAGGTGATGTATTTTTTTACATGTATGTGAAGCTTTTCTTAAAGAAAAACATATAATCATATTAATTTTAATTATTGTTATATTTTTAAATTAAATATATAATAATAATAATTGTATTAGATAAATTTTTTGTCTGTTTAAACAGGTTCAGTCAATGAAATTTTTTAGATTCGTCATTGCACAATAATAATATAGATCATTTATAAAAAAATTTAAATATGAAGAGTTAAATTTATTAAATTATTTTAAATTGAGAGTGAATAAATAGAATATATAAATTTAAGAAATTAAAATTATTATTATAACAGATTACAAAACATACTTATAATAATAATTTAATTAAATGATTATATTATAATTTTTTTAAAAAAAAAATATTATTTATTTATAATTAAATTAATAATTTAATGGCACGTGTATACTTTATCCTAATTTTATTGAGAATATATACTAATATAAATGCAACAAGGCCCAGCTTCTTACGGGTTTCCAGCCCAGCTAATTTAAATAACCGTTGGAAATCTCCAAAACATTTATGGGGGGTTTGCCTAGTATATATATAGATGACATAAGAAAAAGTTGCCATACTTTCTTCTTCCCAGGTCCAACCTCTCTGCAAATATGGCAATCCCCCTCCCATTACACACTTTCCCTTTCAATTCCCAGTTTTTGAAAAAACTAGCCGTTCCTCTTTTTCTACTTCAATTCCCTTTTCTTTTTTCATTTCCCTTATATATCGATAGATTTACTTTCCAACAACATAGATTTAGAAAATCTTTTTGTTGTGTTTCAGTAGATTTTTGAGCAATGAGTTCTGGTCGATGTGCGGCTTGCAGATATTTGAGGAGAAGATGTACGGAAGACTGCATTCTCTCGCCTTATTTTCCGTCTAATAATCCCCAAAGATTTGTTTCTGTTCATAGAATCTATGGTGCCAGTAACGTCACAAAATTACTTCTGGTATCCCTTTTCTCATTTTGGGTTTTGGATTTATGATTAGATTTGTTGTTAGATTTAAAGATGTTTTAGTAACGATTCTCAAGATAACACAAGATTTCTTGTCAATTAATAAGGGTGGCATTGCTTGATGTTTATTTATTTACATTGGTTTTCATAAAGATTTTGGATATCAAGTATCCTTGGACAATCAACGGGAGATAGTTGTTTTATGCATAGAATTATTAGTTTTTTTTAACACATGGTTTAACTTATTTTTCACTGGGTAATCACTAATCAGCAACTCCCGACCCATTTGCGAGCTGAAGCAGCGGATTCCTTATACTTCGAGGCACAATGTCGGCTTGAAGACCCTGTCTATGGCTGTGTTGGGCTCATATTTATGTTGCAGCAACAGATACATGCTGCGGAGAGTCAGCTAGTTAAGACTCAAGCCGAGATTGCAGTTATGAAATCCCAGGGCCAAAACCCTGAAGCCCAACAAGCTGAACAAGATTTCAACAATTTGCTGCTACAACAGTCGGACAATGATGCCGCCCTTAGTTTCCCCAACCAAGTTTCTTCTGGGTTTATTTAGGGATCTGTGTGTTCCAATATGATGAATAACTCGAAAAGAGCTTTATTCATCATGCGGTAAAAGTGACTTGACAGCAGTCAAATTGAAATAGTGGGATATTCAAACTTTGTTTAAGCCATAGTATTTTGTTTAAGTGAAATACTATATATATATCATCTATATCTATAAAGAAGAAAGAAAGAGTTAAAATGGTGTGATCATTAATTGTTTATGAGCTTATACCATATGATGCTTATGCTTTGAAGTTTTATTATATGATAGAAATCCATATTCCTTGTTTTCCATTACACTGAGCTAAAGTCTTTATTTTCCTTAGAGCATCCGTGCCTGATACCAATGTCCAATGTTTATCTAGATAAAAATAGGAGGATATGATCTTCCTCTTCAAATACATGGATGGTTGAGCTATTTACTATCCTAATCATAAAAGCAACTGAACTGCTTAAATCATATTTCCTTGTGCTAGTTGTCCATGCTTCCTTTGTTGACAACTAGTATAGCCAAAGATAAATAGTCTTGGCATCTTTTCTCCAATATGGTCTATTTTTGATAGCTAAGAGAAACTTTGGACCAGATGAGAACTGCATCAATATTATATGTTCATGTTGTTAGTAATTAGGATCCTTGTACTGAACATTATTGAAGTATTTCTGAGTCTCTTACCCTATTTAGCGTACACTTTTGGAAATGTCATCTGCGTTTTATTTTGTGAGCTGGGAGTTTCTCCAGTCCTAGAATTGTTGAGTACCTAAATTAGTAAAAGTAGAATGAATTACTTCCAAGGACAACTGTTTCATTCTCTCACAGATCTCTGCTACTTGGTGTTTTTTTTTCTTTTTTCTTTTTTGGGTATGTGTATGGTATAAAGTAATCAAAAGTCTTCAAATACAGATGTTACCTGCTATCATTGATTTCAGAGAACTCCACCTCCCACTGTAAGCATACTCCTCTCTTTTATATATTTTTTGGAAAAATTTAATCTGAACTTTATGTTTGTATAAGTTGAGAGTTAGTTCTATTTGAATGATGTAGGTGAGCACCCAAATTACTAAAGCAAAATGAATTATTTTCCAATGATATCAGGTTCTTTCTTCCCAGGTATCTGCTACATTTATTCTTTGCCATTCATCTGGTATACAGTAATTTAAAAGGTTTAGAATGCTGATTTAGCTACGGCTTATCGTATTGTTTTTTGAGAATTCCACCTCTTATTTATGTATTTTGTTAGCTTAATGATTTAATCATTTGGCTTTATGTTATATCTAAACCTGATATGTGAAGGCTGCTGGAAAAACTAAGAAGTTAGAGAAGAAAGAGCAGATGAACCACGAAGGAGCTTAGGGGTAAATATATGATCCCTCTCTTTTTCTTGTTTGAATTCATTAGAAGCACTTTAATGGCACACTTGAAAGATAACCCAGAAAGTCGAGAGAATGTTTAGATAATTGATTTATACGGACTCTTCCTGATTTATATGTGTCAAGAAGATGATTATTTGACTGCACCACTGGGATAACAAAAATATCAACACTGTTTTCTTATCACTACTTCCTTTGATTTTCATTCTTATGATTGAAATTTCATTTCTCCAAAATCAAGCAGGATAGCCTACTGAAAGAGTGGCAAAACTAACTCAAAATAAAGCAGCATATCACCATCAGTTGTAAAAGAAACGCTAGTATGAACAACAAGAAAGGTATGGTACTGAACAGAGAGTCAAATAACAGGAGATAAGATATCAGCTTAAAGATTCTGATCATCAGGACTTCTTTGCATCATAGAAGTAGTAATGAAGCATGAGTTCTGATCATCAGCTATTTTTTTTTCTTTTTTTCGTACTTTTGCATCTAGTTTTAGTCAATATGAGTTCTTGAAATGAAGTCAAGGGTTTTCTTTTTGACGTCTATACTACTTTTTTCCCTCTGGAATTCTATAACAGGAGAAGATTGATTCTTTGCTCGGTTTTCAGTGGATATTACATTTGCTGTTTATTGAGATGCTTGTATTTTTTTATATGTATTTTGGTTCACTAAAATTATCTCAAATCTGGAACGAATACGGATGTCAATGTGTTGTGATGAGTCGTATTTTTGTGCACTTCGACTCTTAATTCAATCTTAAATAAAATATTAATGAACTCTTCTTGAATCCAGCTCTGAATTTCTTTTAAAACTTCACTTCAATCCAAATTTGTTTCAATATATTATGATTGAAGAAAAGAGAGAAGAAACAAGATGAGAATAAAGCAAAATGAAGAATCTAAACTTATATATACGGGGGTTGATTTTGGTAAATAAGAAAATCAATTAAAATTATAAATAATAAAATACTTAAAAAATAACAAATATTTTGAACAAATTCAAAACTCCCATAAATATTTTTTTCTTTTAAATGAACAGCTAAATTATATGCAATAAAAAAATTCAAACATTTGTTGAAAATTTGAAAACTTCTATGGATATATGAAACTTAAATCTAAAGTTTTTAAATTAAAAATATAGTGCATAAAATATTGAAATTTTTAAAAATTACATTATATTAATGAATATTATCATGTTTCAATAAATATATTAAATAAAATATATTCATAAACAAAACGAACCAAATCCTAACATAACCTTAATCTTAATTTTTTTTAATATATATATATATATATACACTCACTCACCTCGTCTAAAATCCCGATTTAATAAACAACCCCTAAAACAAAACATCCAAATCAACCGGGATGTAAACGAGCCAAGTCAAGATCAAATATTGTTAAGCTCGATTTGATTTGAAAAGTATTGAATTGAGCTTGATTCGAACTTGAAATAAAAAAATTAAAGTTTGACTCGAACTCAAAAAAGATTACTTGAAATGTTCTCAGGCTTAACTCGATTAAAGTTCAAACCTTGACCCGAAATATATGAAAAATTATATTATATTTTTTTTAAAAATAACAACGTATAAATGTTAATATTATTGATATTTTAATTTAAAAATTAATCTATTATTTTATTGAGTTGCTTGTGAATTTTTAAAATATGATTTAAAATAATTTGCTTCAATTTATTAAAATTCAAGTCAATTTCAAAGTCGAATAGAGTACATTTAATTTTAGAAATTTGAGTAACTCGCCATACCTAAAAACAAAATAACCAAGGACGGCTCCTGATTCCTTCCGTCTTGGAAACGAAAGTGTTTCGCCAAGTGTGCCAACTTGGGCTGCTTTGGCCCCACAATCCTCGGCCTTCTAAATCAAGACACGTGTTAGCCAGTGAGAGCATTGGGCATTGGTCCCCAAACAGTGAAATTCACAACTTGACAAATGGCTGGAGATGGTTTTTTTCCCTTTCTAATGAACAGTATTTTTTTTCTTTTTAGTTTTATTAAGGTAATATATAAAATAAAAGTTATTTCGATTTTAATTTTAGTTTCCTTTATTGGATTTGATTCTCGGCCAGAAGGGTCTATCCTTTATACTATAATAACAAATACTTGTACCATTATTTATTTACTGCTACTTATAAAAAGTGTATCAATCATTTGGTTAATTTAGCCCACGAGTTCAAGAAATTTCATTATTTTTACCCGTTTAACAAATATTTTTCCAAAAATTAAGATAATCATCTTTAAATATAAGAGTTGAAAACTATGATCAATAACTACCATTCAAGTAATTCCCTTGATCTAGTAATAAACTATTATATTAATGAACCTACGATTTTTTAAGATAATCGTCACAAAAGAAGTCAAATATCTCGTGGGTCAACAAAAATCAACGGTGGAGGAGGTCGAGATTTTAACCAATCAGAGGACCCACATAAGTCATCGGACCCATCATGAAATTTTTTCATGCACCATAAATCCTCGGACATATAAAACTTGGTCCAATGTGGGATAACCTCTCGAACAGGGTCCCTCTGCCCCACCTCCGTCACCACCACCCCGCACCCATCATCGTCACGACCCATGTTATGGGCAAAGGCACAGAGAGATTTCATGAGCCGTGGTCCATTCTTGCCTTCCATGTGTAAACCGTACAAAAAATAAACCCAAAACTTCCTGAAAACATCGGGAAACGAAGGCAGCATCAGCCGTGGCATCCAACCATCAACCACCCTTGAAGCCATGCAACAAGCGTACTTCAACGTCGACATCCCTTTAACTTGCAACCTGAACAACTGCTTGGTGCTCCAAACACTCGTAATGGCGAAACTCAATGGAAGAATCCCTGTTTTGGGATCCCATTTTGGCAGACTCTTCTTCGGTAAGGCCATGAACGTCCCCAAGTTCAACCTGTTGTACAAAATCTTATCTATGTCTTCGGGGAAGAATTCCGAGTTTGCGAATAGCCGACGGTAAACGGCCTCGGCCAGCTTCGGGTCGAGTCGGACGATGGCTATGCCGGAGCCTAACGGCTTGGAATGAGCATGAACCGGCTGCACCAGCATTGTTGGGGTGCGGAATTTGGTGTATTCAAATTTTCTGGTGAACAAATTGATGGATGCTTCATTGGTGCAATCTGTGGCCATATATACATACTCTGCTCCATTCTGCTTACACCATTCTTCTAATTTCTGAACCAGTTTTTTCCCAATGCCTAGCCTCCTGCATTATAAATATAATTTCGTTGGAAAAAACAACATTCATGACGATTAAACAGGAAAAAAAAAAAACAAATGGCAACAAAGGCATTGTGGAGTGCATAACAAAGTAACATTCCAAAACACAATGATAAGAATTATTAAGCAATAAAAAAATGTAATAAAAGACTGGAGAGTAGTAATTCATAAAGAATGACATAAGAAATGGCGGCAGCATCAAAAGAATTCAGCAGACAGTTTAGTGGACCATTAGGAAGAAAGAAGCATTTATAATATCGTCTTCTTTTATGGGAATAACTCGTTTATAATGAAGTGGATTCTAAACAAGTGTCAGTGCAAGGCTAGCTGGCATTTGCTCCTTTCCATTCTATGATACCAGGAACCTTATGTTTTCTTTTCTTAATTATATTA